AGAGACGATAGACCAGAGAGAGACCAGAAAGACTAGAGAGAAACTAGCGAGAGAGAGAGAGAGACGATAGACCAGAGAGAGATCAGAAAGACTAGAGAGAAACTAGCGAGAGAGAGAGAGAGACGATAGACCAGAGAGAGATCAGAAAGACTAGAGAGAAAAGCGAGAGAGACGATAGACCAGAGATCAGAAAGACTAGAGAGAAAAGCGAGAGAGAGAGAGACGATAGACCAGAGAGAGATCAGAAAGACTAGAGAGAAACTAGCGAGAGAGAGAGAGACGACCGACCAGAGAGAGATCAGAAAGACTAGAGAGAAAAGCGAGAGAGAGAGAGACGATAGACCAGAGAGAGACCAGAAAGACTAGAGAGAAACTAGCGAGAGAGAGAGAGAGACGATAGACCAGAGAGAGATCAGAAAGACTAGAGAGAAACTAGCGAGAGAGACGATAGACCAGAGAGACATCAGAAAGACTAGAGAGAAACGCGAGAGAGACTATAGACCAGAGAGAGACCAGAAAGACCAGAGAGAAACGCAAGAGAGACTATAGACCAGAGAGAGACCAGAAAGACCAGAGAGAAACTATTGACGAGACTGAGACCAGAGAGAGAGAGAAACCAGAAAGACCAGAGAGAAACCAGAGCGAGAGACTATTGACCAGACTGAGACCAGAGAGAGGGAGACAAGAAAGACCAGAGAGAGGCACGATAGAGACCAGAGAGACGATAGAGACCAGAGAGAGGGAGACAAGAAAGACCAGAGAGAGGCACGATAGAGACCAGAGAGACGATAGAGACCAGAGAGAGGCACCGAGGCAGAGTGAGAGAACTGTAAATTACTATTGAAAATACTTACACATTTATTTAAAAATTGAATTCAATTGAAGTTGCCGACATCACCTTTAATATACAGGTTAATTACAAACATATAAAAGCTGTTGCGTATATGTTTAACTGTTATATTTTGATTGTTTCTTCCTCTTCTTTATGTTTCTTCTCTTTTTATAGCTGTGACCTCACAAATATTGAGTGTGTAAGATTGTAAATATTAATAATCATTTTTTGCTGTGATGGATTCAATTATTAAGTTATAAACGTAACTCACAACAATTGCATTCAAATACCTCACCATCCACAAAACAATAGACATATGTAACCTATCTATCTCCTCACATGTATTTCCACATACTCTAGATCTGCTTTTACAAACTCAAAAGTGAAAAAGAGAGGACCACCCTCACTCAGCCAAAAAACGCCCAGAGCTCTTTCTTACACAAAAATCTTTTCTATATGAGATAAAGACAGCATGTTGTGATCTGATTTGTTGACAACATTTCTGGACAGTGTTCATCCTGCTCCCGATGGACCAGTGGCTCTGATGTGTTATTATTGCATTTACTGTGTTTGATTCTCTGATCTGTTGTTGGTGAATCGACTGCTGTTGTGATTTAGGTCGATAAACAAATATATTGAATTGAACCCTTTACTTGTACAGGACTATTAAATACCCCAATTCTGGCCACAGATACCAGTGCCCAGCAGATGCAAAAATAACTTGTCTAGTGGATTCATAGGCATTTTAAACCAATCATCATATTGTATTTGTTTTTGCCCCTCGTTAGAAGTACACCTTGTTTCCCCTTTAACCTATTTGGAAACTAATATTGTTGACTGTGGTATATATCTATCTCTTCATCTATCCATCCCTCTGTCTATCTATCTATCTATCTTTCCATCTATATCTAAATTGGTTGTTCGCCAAGTTCACCTCACGCGCACTCCGCCTCACGTGCACGAGGATGCCCCCGTGAGCGCGTGCACCCCCAATGCTAATAAACGCCGGGCACGCGCACCATCCTCTAATGGAGCTGATTACGAATTCCTCCGCGCGCAGCCGGAGATCGCACCAGCTGTTCCCACGCGACGAGTGTGTGTGTGTGTGCGTGTGTGTGTGTGTGTGAGAGAGAGAGAGGCCAGTGTGTGTGTGTGTGCGTGTGTATGTCTGTGTAAGGGGGGTGGGGGGGGGTTCTTGCTCCCAGCCTTTCTCCCGAGCACTTTTACCACTTTATCGGGTCTCGGGCTCCGGGAAGAACTAACGCTTATTCAACGCGCACGCAAACATACCCCCTCCTTTCGTTCTATATTTCTCCCCCCCCTAAATTCTTTCGCCCGCTAGCACGCCATTGCATTTACAACCGGGGTGAACGCGAACAGCCCTCTAATACACGGGTTAGTGGAGGAGTCAGCTCGGAGGACAGACGCGGCAGAGAGGCGGTAGCGATGAGTCAATACAACTAATCATTTAATGGGGCAGCGCGGTGTAGACGCGGCGTGGACGCGGAGAGAGCAGCTTCCGCGACTGGGACCAGGACAGCTGCTGCTATCATCTCCCTCTTTCCCCCTACAGCCTGGACACCTATCCGCGATACTCCACCACCGCAAGCCTCCTTCCTTCGACCCGAACCTGGGAAAGTAGCCAGCACTTTCCCCCCGACACTTCGCCGTGTTGTTTGGAGCGAAACCCGGACCTCAACTGCCCACATCCACCACCGCTACCACCGCGAGTTAGCTGCAAGCTTTCCCCGCGTGTTATTGTTTATTTCCCACGTTTGCTAGATAGCTAAAGCGACGGCATGTGTTGTTTGTATACGCTAGCCTCTCGGTGAAGGCACTATCTCCTGTCAGTACCCGGGTTGGACACCTCTTTGCCTCGTCTTCATCTGACTGCTAACCGCCTATAACCGCTCGCCTTGACGCTCGCCTTGACGCGCGGTCGCATTTCTACCGCGCCGCGTGTGGACCGAAGAGCGTCCGTCCGGTCCCGCTCTGTGGTGGCTGGCTGGTCTGGTTAGCTAAATGCGAAGCAGATACGCGCAGAAGCATGAGACCTCGCCGTGGATGTCAAAAGTATCTAAAATGAAATGCTAATTCATTCTAAAGGTAGTATTTAGGGTATTTCCGCATGCAAGTGTCTATCTAGAGGCATATAAATACTTTTACCAATAGTATTAGATTGATGCATGGATTTAAAACTCAATCTTGAGGCAGCAAAAAGTAGTACTATTTAAGGTTTAAACATACAGCTTAAATCGGTATCGTGTGTTTAAATCGATTTGGATTGTTGTGTTGTGGTGGCATCTACGCTGACCGAAGCGAGGGGGTTGTAACAATGTTATTTGCAATGAGAGAACTGCCACTCGCTGCTGTGCACACGTAAAGACGTGAGGAGCGGCCGGAGTTTTTGCTTTTGCCTTGTTTTTGTCACCTTTTTTTTTTTTACCCTGGACAAACTTGAAGAAGAGGAGACGAGGTGCGAGTGGCGTTATATGCTCTCCAGTGCTGAACCGCTCCGTGCCAGGTTTGTAGACCCAGTGGAATCTTCAATAATCGTATCTTTATATTCAGCCAGACTTTGGGGAATTAGTCTTGTTTGTGTTTTGAGGTCATTGCAAAAAAACCCTGACCTGGATCTGGACTTCAGTCGGGTCTAGATTTTTGTGCCCCTTCCATTCTTGCAAAATTAGTTGCCTCATTGCTCGCTGTGAATGAGAGAGTTATGATGATCTTTACGGTGGGGGTAGATGGATTTGCTCATTCCACTCTTTGACAATGCGTCCTGCTTCACTGCTTCACCTCTGTATGAGATAAGATAACCTTTATATTACATACGTATTAGATACGTTTACATTTCAGTGTCAATGTTACGCACAATGCAAGAGAAATTACAGCAGAAATAGGAGCACACATGATACACACATCAAACACGATCTGTTATTAAGATTACACACAATACACATATAACACACTCTCAAGCTATAATTGCACCTATACACTAGAAGCTGTGTTTAGCAGTCAGGACATTATGGTTATACACCGTTGTGTTTTAGCTGTACTAAACAAGAAACCAACTTCCAAATTGCACTCTTAACAGTTAGTTGAGGTTGCCTTCACTCTGAGTTTCAACCACTCTTTCACTTTTGATGAGTCAGCAGATGCCCATAACTGACCAACAGCACCTTTACTTTCTTGCACCTGTCTGAGGGTGTGTTGTTATTGCCCATAGCTGCGTCATGAGTCTGTAACAACACACACAGAATGCCTCTGGTTTATGCTCAGCCTGCGTGCAAAAGCAGCACAGCCGTGTTCATTCAAGTGGAATTTCTCTGCGAATTAATGTATTTGAACTAAAACTAGGGCTTGTTTGCCCCCCTGCGCTAGTCTAGTGGGACGCATATACATAAAACATGCGTTGAAAAATAGGAACATTAGTGCTGCACGAAAACGTCACCGCGGACAACTTGTTTTAGCTGAGCAGAGATGACAGATCCCCACGTCACCAGGCCGAGCTCAACACAGTATTGGCCCAATACTGCTGTAAAATGTCTTTTTCTGCATCCTAATAATGTATACATGCTCTTTCACACACAATGCAGCAAAGTAAAAATTACAGAAGAAAGCGTTGTAGAAAGATTATTAGTGTTGTGTGTGTGTGTGACATTTGTCAACATATATTCAGTTCAATTGAACTTATTTTTTTGTAGCCCTAAATCACAACAGTAGATATCTTGGAGGAGTTTACAAAGTCGCCAACACAGATTCAGAGATTCAGACAGTTCAAACAAAGGTAAATGCAATGGTAAACATCACATACAGGCATTGGTCCATAAGGGGCAGATGGCAAATGTGCATAAATGTATATAATAGTCAATAAATGTTGTTGAATGTCGAATGTCCTGGATCATGAAAAACCTTGAGGCGCTCCTACAGACGAATAGGCTATAGATCCAGGACATTGCATATTTGCCCCCTATGGACCAATGGCTTCCCCTCAGTGCGCTCACACACGTCCTTCTCTTAACTCCAACATACACAGACCTCCTGTTTGCTAACTTAGTGTTGCTCCTCCAGGTGATAGTTCCTTCTTTTATGTGACGTGACCACAGACCTCTTGCTGACTCACTGTTGCTCTTCCAGGTGATAGTAAGCTGAGGAGCTGAGAATGATGGAACATCTCAGCGAGACGTGTCTGGGCAAAGAGAACGAGCTGGTGAGCAGCATGGCAGAGGCCAAGTGCCCCTCGGCCAAACTGCCCCGGCTGGAGAACGGCCCGTCGCTCCCTGGTGCTCCTCCGGCCAAGCTGCCTCGACTGGAGCAGAACGGGCCCAGCGCTCAGAGCGGCCCGCCCGCCAAACTGCTACGCCTGGAGCAGAACGGCAGCCCCCTGGGACGTGCTCGCCTCGGCAGCAACGGAGCCAAACTCTCTGGGATCCCATACAAACCCAGCAGCCACCTGCTCAAGTCCTGCCACAAGAGAGGTGAGAGGCCACGGCACTGAGACCGCGACACGCTGCAGGGGACATGTCACTGGGAGCTGCTGACAGATATGTGCTTACAGGACATTTGTGTGAGAGCAAAGTATTTAGGAAAGGCAACTTTATTTGCATTGCATAGTTCATACACAAGGCAACTCAAAGTGGCAACAGAAACAATCACACAAGGAATCAGAATTATAATTAATCACAGTGCATTAAAAAGAGTGAAGATACAATCATTCAGTTGTATGCAAAGCCTGTTTCGCATTTTTAAGTTTCCAGATTTTAGCTTTGATCCTGACAGAGCACTGCATGACAAATGCAGAAGGGGAAATGAAAATAGAGATTATGAGATGAACACCCCTAGTGGTGGTGGTTGCTAAAGAGAAGGGTTAAAGAGATGGTCTGGCTAACGAGGCGGTGATGGGGAGGAGGAGGGTTGCTGCACAATATGAAAGCTTGATCCATGCTTACATCCTGCCAGTTGACTGTGAGTGACTGATTGCTGATGCGACACAGCAGCAGGGAGAGGGCTGAGAGCAGTGAGCTTGTGTCCGAACCTCCGCTTCAGTTTAATTTGTGTGAGAGCGAAGATGCAGTATTTATGCCACACACACTTTCTCAAGTCTCCTCCTGACAATATTTTTTGACTTACATTTTTTTTACATTCTGAAGGTTTTGGACAAAGGAAGACTTTTTTTTATTTTTTATTATTATTTACATGAGTTTAATCTAATTTTCTGGTGGATTCTTCTGATCGTAATGTGTTCAATTATTGACTTAAAAGGTTATTATAATAAAACAAGGAGTGTAAAGAAGATTAAGTACTTGACATGTTTTGTCAGTAGACTTCCGCATTTGTCAGTTACTGGATTGACTCAAATATTAACCAGAATATTGTAATTGTACATTTTCTTTTTAACTATTTGTAATTACGTTTTGGTTTTGAATTATAGAATACTTAGAATTCATTGATCTCATCATGTTGCTAATCAATCACTAAACACCCCTGGACTTTGAAACTGTAAACCTATATACAGTATTATACAGGCCAAGTTCTAGATCCTAAACAACTCAATCATTATTAAACTATATTTATATGTAAAGTGTGTGTATGGACCTAAAACCACAACAAACCAGTCCCCCCACCTGCCGTCGCCCTACAGACGACCTGTTCAAAGCGTGTTTCTATGCTCTTGCCCAAAATATGGTTCTGGTTATGATCAGGGTTAGGATCTGATAAACATCTGTCTGTTGTTTTCACAGCGCACTGATGAGTAGCCTCGCCCAGTCATTAGGAGGGTATGTAATAACAACTGAGAATCATGGGAGAGCCACTAACAAGTTTTCAAATGCTAAAAATGTAAATTAATAATAATAGTATGACTAAACTATTTATCAATCAAACGCACAATGTATGTCTTTAAAGCCTGGAGCTGTAGTTGAATAATATTTGTTTTGTTTATTTATTGGAATAGGGACAATGAACAATTCCAGTTTTAGCTACAAGGCTGGTTTTAGGCTGTTGTTCCTGGACAAGGTGTAGATATGCCATCAGAATACATACATAGCAAGTGTACAGTACATGTAAGAATAGTAATAGTTAGTACATTTTACTAAATGTACTTTAGTAGAGTAGAGGAGATGAGAGTAGAGTTGGGCTGGTGGAAATGGGTCGAAACAGAGATGTAAGCGCGAGCAGACTCATACAAAGTTCAGAACTAGAAAAAAGACACATACATATTTGTTGACTAAAAGAGGCGAAAGCTTTCAGAACTTTTACATATGTGACCTGAACTGGTCTCACAAGACTTCAATCTCATTCATAACTGTTTAAACATTACATCACTCAAATCAATATAAAGATCAATACACTGTTGCACTTTTTATCCTACTTAGTCATAACTTATAGGGTTCCCACACATGATTCGTATCAGTTGCTGAGTGGTTGGCACTGGGCCTTTCTGTGTGGAATTTGTATATTCTCCCTGTGTCTGCGTTGGCTTCCTCTGGGTGCTGCGAACACTAAAATGTACAATAGGTAGTCCTCCATCTATGGTTCTGAAGAGCATCAACATTTGGAGCGGGTCCCTGTTACTATGGCGACCACTGCTCCTGATAGAGGCACTAGTAGTGTTCAGGATGGGTCAAATGCAGAGGATACATTTCCCTACAGGGACAATAACTTAAACATATAGTAGATACAATGTGGTCTAAACATGGAAACCAAAATATTCAGATAATTTGCTCTTTCTCATATAAATCTTTCTAAATTAGTAAAAAATAAATCGGCCATTAATTAAGATGAAGAGATCCTTCATTTGTCCCGCAGTGGGCCCTCAGCATAGACACACATCTGGAACGTAGCGTTGGGCTAAGAGCCGACTTTTGGACCATACTAAGCAGGATGGTCCAAAGAAGACGCCATACAAAAGCATTGGGTAATTCTTATTCCGGTTCCACTCCCACCGGCCCGGAGTGGTATTGCAAGCATGTCAGTGCCCATGCTCATGGACTTTTTGGAGCCAGGACCCGTCCCCACTTGCATCACAAGTCACAACAGAATTGAAAATTAAGTATAGAACTATTCTTCATTTATTATTCAAAACAAAAATATTCACAGTCACTCACTCACTCACTCACACATGTACACACGCACACAGACACGCACACAGACATACAGACACACGCACACACACACTCATATACTCACACTTACACAAAACCCTCCTGCTCCAGCGTTTGTTTGTCAAGGCAAAACTTCTGGTCCTTCTAGACTCGTTTCTCCTGAACCTGTCCGCCGAGATGATGACATAGAGTTTTAATATGAGCCGCGCTGTTGTCGGGTGCAGAAAGAGCATCTTTAGGGCCATGTTTCTGCGGTCGGGAAAATGAAAGCTACAGGTTTTTGTGGCGGGCTCTTGGCTGAAAGATCCTGTTTGTTTGTCGTTTTGGCGCCCGCCGCAAGCGTTCCTGGGCAAAAGGGACCCGTGCCTCTTGGAACGCAGCTTGGAGCGTTCTCCGATGGGCTGTTGCTCTTCGCTCCTTCTTCTATGTGTCACACTCTACACTTTATGTATTTTTTTTCTATCCTGGCCAAGACGAGATTCTCCTCCCTGCTTTCTTTCATTAGTGCACATTTCTATTGTTTATTCTTACTGCTGCTAATTCCCATTCCATTAACTAAAGCTGGTTGATTTAGCAGAATGTGTAGTGTTGCAATTGTTTTGAGCCTGTGCACTGAATATAATTTTAATCGTGATGATAAATTGCTCCTAGAAATCTGTTCTTAATGATATGGTGCCAGTCCAGTACATAGCCTGTATACAGATGAACATGGCTAGCCTGCATGCTCAATGTAGCCCAAAGGGAAGGTCAAAGTTTTGCTCTGGCTTCATTGACTTACATTAAAAAGTAAACTCCTCTTGCTCAGTAACAGTTTGTGTCACACTCCACATTTGGGGCTTAAAAAAATCACCACAGTGCTTTGATCATTGTCATTAAATACTTTTGTGTCATGAGAAGTACTTTTGTGTCATGAGAAGTGCTTTGAAGCTCTTAAGTGAATCAAAGTACCTGATTAATTGTGTAAGTGAGTTCCAGAGAGTGGGGGCAGTACTCCAGGGTCTCAGTCCTCCAGGCTTAGGAAGGTTGGCTCAGTCCTCAGGGTTCAGGAGGCCCGCTCCTCCGGGTTCAGAAGCTCGGCCCCCCAGGGTTCAGAAGGGTCAGTTCTTCAGCCTTGAGAATAATGAAGCTGAAGCGCAAATTCAGACTGAAAGACCGTCCAGGGCCTGCTTTGAGCTACTATAGGAGAAAATAGCATTAGGAATAGACATGGGCAAAATGGAAAAAAAATATAGTTTGCCAAAATTTAGTCTATTTCTAGGTATCGGACACTAAATTAGCAAACTTATTTACAATTATAACCTCAAGCACTTTTACATGTGACTACATACTTTTCAATAAATTGGAACATGCTTTTTACCAATAATGATCTTCAGCGGCCACAGTTGCCAAATGTTTCATAAAAAGTTCATTATTTTGCATATTTAATGTAAATACGTACATAATGTAATACATATACATATGAATAATGTGTGTCCAGGAAGTGATCGTTGCAGGACGGTACCCCAATGCTTTTGTCTCTACAATGTTTGATTTTGATTTGTGTTGGTCAATCTCATAGGCCCTTTCTGTTAGGAAAATTTAAATGGGCAATTCTTCCACGGCGTGAACTCTCGGCTCCAAATCATGTCTGTATTTGGAGCCGGTAATTATCAATTTTGGTGATAAACCAAAATATATTCTATCCACCGGGAGGAGGCCCCGGGGAAGACCCAGGACACGCTGGAGGGACTATGTCTCTCAGCTGGCCTGGGAACGCCTTGGGGTCCCCCTGGACAAGCTGGAGGAAGTGTGTGTGGATAGGGAAGTCTGGGCGTCTCTGCTTAGACTGCTGCCCCCGCGACCCGGCAACGGATGAAGCGGAAGAAAACAGACGGACGGATATTCTATTCATCCTTCTTGTGGGAATATAGGGAATTACATGCCTAATGTTACAATACGTTTTAGGGCTGAAAAATATTAGAAATTAGAGCAATATATGATATGGGTGTTTAGTATTTCTATAACGATATTATAGCACAAAACATTAATTAAATTCGACTGCAGTCTGGCATACATCTTAACCTCAAAACCTGCCAATTGCCAATTCTACTCACACTGTGCTAACGGAGAGTGTGCACATTGCTATGTGTCGCTCCGAAGTTTTCTCATAAGGAGCTACAGAAGCCAAACTGTCATTAATGCTTGTTTGCACATTTGCCTTTGGTTTGACCGGAGTAGGCTGTGGAGTTTTGCATTGTGAATACACAGCATAAAGTACCTTGTGTTGGAGGTGGCTCTGGAGATCGTTTTGTTTTCCTTCAACTATTTTTCGACATGATTTTCTAATGACTTGTTTCTGTGAATGATCGTGTCTTGTAAATCCAAAGTTGTCCCAAATTCCGGAGGTAAAGTGTCTTTTTGGAACAAGTTCCTCTCTGCATTTGTCTGCATTTGTCTCTTCATCATCCGCTATGCTTGTTTTGTTTCGCACCGTTTAGACATGGATATTGCACGTACAAATATCGCAATGACAATATTTTATGATATATCGTGCAGCCCTAATATGTTTTCTACAAACAATGTTGTTTCACATTCTAAACCAATTCTACCAAGTAATTAAGTCTCATTATTATTTTTACTGGCCAAACATACTGCATATCACGTGTTCTTTAAACATATTTATCAACAATCGCATCACAGTCAGAAAGCTTGTCAGAAAGATGGCATTGATAACTGCCACATCTTCTGCATAACCTCAATTATTTTCCTCGCGATAACAAAGCCATCAATAATCCAAACTTCTGCAGCGTCTCGACACAGGCAGTCGCCCCCGGAGACCGTCCCACACTGACCATTGTGCGGGGCCCAAAACAATATTAGCCGCAGCCGCGTGTGGGCCAGCGGCAGACAAAGCCTGTATTGATCCCCCCAGTGAACCTACACAGCAGTCTTTATTGTTAGATCTTTATCTATTAAAACCCAGCGCAGAGAGAAAAGCGGCTCTTTCAGCACATTCCCGAGCATCCGTCAGCCCATTGATTGTTTGGGTTCGGGCAAAAAAATATATCTGGATTTATGTATTTATGTAAAAAGCACAAATAAACCTGAGGCCGCACCATGAGTGTGTGCGCTCTGAATGAACCACACCTGGTAATTGGGGTTAACTTTAATTCGAGTTCCCGGTAGGAAAAGGTGTCCACTGCATCCACTCGGGCCTTTGTCAGGAGCAGTGGTCGCCGTAGTTCAGGGGAACCATCTCCATCTGTGTTTTGACCTGAATTTGTACTTTTCTAAGTCCTTACCTACTGAGCAATATGCTGAATTAAAGAAGAATTCTTTAATTCAGAATTCTTTTTAATTTCTTTTTAAAAAGAATTCTTTTTAATTCAGCCACCGTGCCGCCCGCACGGTGGCTGAATGAGTGGATAGCACTCTCGCCTCTCAGCAAGAAGGTCCTGGGTTCGAATCCCGGCCGGACCAGGGCCTTTCTGAGTGGAGTTTGCATGTTCTCCCCGTGTCTGCGTAGGTTTCCTCCGGGTACTCCGGTTTCCCCTACCACTAAAAACATGCACAATAGGTCTGGCATGCGCCTCCTGTACTGGCGACCCCGCTCCCATCTCTGTGTGGAGTGAGTGGACCAATGCCCAAAAAATAATAACAATTGTAAACCGCTTTGTGACTCTGGTCTGTGAAAGGCGGTATATAAATAAAGATTACTTACTTACTAAGAAGTATTTTTGAGTCTTTGAACTGAGAGCTGATTGGCTGAGTGCTTCTCTTTTTCCCTTGGCAAGTTCCGAATGGTTTGATACTGACTAGTTGAAGTTGAAATTAGAAATTAGTCACTTTAAATAAGCAGAAACAACTTGGTGAAGTAAAAATAATCTAGGTTCATCTCTCCTCTTCTCTCCGCTCTGCTCTCACCTCTCTGCTCTCCGCTTCTCTTCGTTCTCCTCTCTCGTCTCTCGGCTTGTATCTCGTCTCATCTCTCGTCTCGTCTCTCCTCTCGTCTCTCCTCTCGTCTCTCCTCTCCATTCCCTTCCCCTCTCCTCTCTTCTCTCTATTTGCAGCTTTGTTGTAGAATATAATCTCCCGTTAGCCTTTGTCATGTGTTGTAGCTGTATTTCCAATTTCTTTGTCCAATTGTCTAACCTTGCTTTATCGGACGGTGTGTGTGAGACAGACTTTTTTGTTGCGCCGTCTGAATGGCCTCTCCACATGCCGAGATGTTATTGGCGAATAAACAGCACACCGGCAGATCCACGCGCACACTGGTCGCTTGAATGCAGACAGCGGGGCCTCTGTTGGCTCAGAATAGTCTGCATACAGGGTGAAGAGGTGGTCAGACCTGGAGCGCTGCATCATGGGAAGATGATTTGAGGTTGGCAGAGCACCTCCTCAGCAGCGCATCATAAAACAGGGAACAACTCAGCTGCTCCGCGGAAAGAGACCGAGCTTTGTGTCCGGATTAATTACATTAGAGCCGTGTCTGTGACTGGACATATCCCAGTAAAGGAAAATGTACACTACTTATGGGTCATAGAAAACAGAGACATTGCACAAAGATAATATATCTCTAGAAATATTTAAACTACTGTATTGCATAGAAACCTTACTAGTTAGAAAGCTGCTCTATGGTTGTGCCAGTGAACTTATATGCATGCATGTGAAGACTAATGATGTGACTAAGCAACACATGGAGTATTTCTTCTTTCTCCATGCACAAGTCAGGTAGACGACTGCAATACATCAAATTAAACTTGGCTTGGATGGGAAATAAAAAGTATTTTGATGTCCTTGTTAAGAAAGACCGACCCAAGCTTTACATACTTATAAGACTGTCCAGAAGTCCCTGATGACCTTGTTGTTAATGTATATCTTGTCTTGCGCAGGTAACATGCTGCCGGTGTTCTGCGTGGTGGAGCACTTTGAGAACCCCCTGGACTTTGACAGTAAAGAGGAGCACGCCGAGTTCGTCCTGGTGAGGAAGGACATGCTCTTCAACCAGCTCATCGAGATGGCCCTGCTGTCCCTGGGCTATTCCCACAGCTCCGCCGCTCAGGCCAAAGGTGAGAGGCCAGACATAACACAACAACTCTGAAGGTGTAGTGACACCTGCTGGCCTGGATTAACCAGACCAATTCTATTTTATTCTACTCTGCTCTGCTCTACCAGGTTCTACTTTAGTCCCTCTTGGCCCTGGTTCTATTCAGACCGAGCTGGTACTGTAATGTTCTAACTGACAGTGATTGGCCAGAGAGTTGCTGGAAACCATGGTTACCAAGGAATTTACCCTGATACAGATTTGTTGTGGGTAAGGAAGCTTAATATTGGTGCTGAACCCGGAAAATGTGGTGCCACCTGCAGAGCTCTGAAGCTAAGCAGGGCGGGGCCTGGTTACTACTGTGATGGTGTCATAGTGGGGGTGGCTGCGGCTGTAAAGTGCCACACTGTGATAGTGTTCTTAGACAAGACACTTTAGCCAAACTGCCTGGATTGAGTTTGGTGTGAGTGAATGGTTGGTGGTGAACACACTGGTTGTCTTGCTTCTGACAGTGTGCTTTAGGGCAGCTGTGGCTCCAGTAGTATTTTATCACCACTGTGTATGAGTATTGCTGTGAAGCATCTTTGAGCGTACAAATGCGCTCTATAAAACCAATGCATTATTTTTATTTAAAAAGTGTTGGATTGGGAGTTGGCTGTGTGATATCCTTGTCCTTTCAATTGATGTAATAAGTGATAATAATAAAAGAGATGCAGTTGTGACTTGCAGAGTTTGGGAGCAAGTCACAACTCTAAATGTATCTAAATTGCATGGGTAGTACTGACCGACTGTCCCCCAAATTTTTTTACATTTACTGACACAAAGCTGTTCTATAGTTCTATAGGCCAAAGAACAATAATCTACTTATTATTGGACAGAAAACAGCAAAGTAAGAAGTCTTCAGAGGATTTGAACGCTGGCGATGTTGGCGAGACCAGAGCAGGGACTGGAAATATAATGTATTCTATTACAACAAAAGGAATTTATTACAAAAACGACCTACAGAAGAGATTTGGATGAATAAAACTCATTACAAAACATTAGAGCCGCACTTTTGTCATATTACAACGATGTATGACTAGAAACAAATCATTGACATTGACAAAACACAATACTGCATGTTTTTTCTCAATATTAATCGGTGTGAAGCATTGGGTTGGCTATAAAACCGATGCACAGGGATAGAATGACGGGGAGAAAAAACAAAAGAACAGGGATCCGCAGCAGCGTGGACGATCCAAAAAGCCCGACTCGTGCTCCGGTGCGGCGGGTTCACTGCAGAACATCTGTCCGTCGCTCCAGCCAAGCTCTCTTTATTAGCTCATTGTGTCCAGGGCCAATTACGCTCCGCTCTTTTGTGGTTCAAATCATTCTCGCCAGCACAATTTGGAGCCCAGAGAGAAGCGCTTCACAGGGATCTGCTCTCAAAGCCCGCACAATGTTAAGTGGTTTTGATTTTTAAAGAAAACTTAACAAGTGTCCGTTGGTGTTGAAATGGATTGTGTAAGGACATTCACATTTGTTACACTGTGGTTCCTCGTTATAACGCAATTTGCCTTTCGCTGCCTTGCTATTTTGGCAATTTCTTGTGTGTGCTTTTTGGTTTATCTGGTCTCTTTCTTGTCTCTCTCTCCAGTCTCTCAATCTGAGCTCTCTCTGGTCTCTCTCTGGTCTCTCTCTGGTCTTTCTGGCCTCTCTCTGGTCTCACTGGTCTTTCTCTCTGGTTCTCTTTGGTCTCTCCCTGGACTTTTTCTTTGGTCCCTCTAGTCTCTATCTGGTCTCTCTCTCTGGTGTAACACCGAGTGTAAAGCCCAGCTCTCTGTCCGATCTCTGCTTCTTTGTTGGCTGTAAGGCCGCACTCTGGCTTGTGAAGTGCTGTCAGGCGGCGTGACCACAGGGTCCAGATCTGAGGCTCCCATAACACGGCCTGACACTGATCCTCGACGGACCCTTCCCAAATCTGCCCGAGCTCACCACATCCCGCGCTCTCACAAACGCCCTGAGATAACACTCAGTCCGAAGCACACAGGAGCTCTTAGGATCCTAGACATGCCTGTTGTCATCTCTATTGGAGCTTTGTTGTCAATTACACCGCACACTCCTGGAACTCCTGTTACTCCTGCTTTACAGAGGTGACTTTAAACTAGTGCCATTTCTGCTTAGTAAACTTTGAAGAAATCGCATGAATAGAATCCGATAGAAGACATTTTTTAGTAGTTGGCGATTGACTAAACTACCTCGAATGACCCTAAGATTATTCTCCCTAATCTCTACAAAAAGTACTAAAAGGTGTGGGCTGAGCTAACCTGCAACACAGTTGTGTGTGCTATGGCTGCATTTGAGCCCTGCTTGGCCCTACTCATCTCTACTCTACTCTACCCTGATCGGGAGTGTTTCCACTGGCCCTGTTTAACCGGTACCAGCTCCTTCCTTAGTCCCTCTTGGTTCGATTCAGGCCAAGCTTGTACTAAAGTGTTCTAACTGACAATGATTGTTCAGAGCGCTTCTCCAAGGAATGTCAATGTCATTGTCAGCTTTATTTGTATAGCACATTTACAGCAATGCCAGCTGCCCAAAGTGCTGCACTGGCACAAAAAAGAAAGTAAATAAAGCAGCATTCAATACACAAAAATACATGTAAAATGTAAAACAGTAAAACTCAGTTTGTGTTAAAAGCCAAGGTGTTAAGATGGTGTTAAGATGTGTTTTTAGACTTGATTTCAAAACCTTCACTGAAGGAGTTGCCCCAATGTACAGAGGTAGACTATTCCACAAATTTCACATATACTGGTTTCTTGTGTGTAGGTTGCTAGGACACGGTACCAGATACTAAAGCGTATCGTAAGTAGAACTGCTGGAAATGGGGCTTTTGGTGTTGCATTACTTTTGTGTCTCTATTTCACTCCCTGCTGTCACCAATCTGGTCACAGGTAATGAAACAGTCATTACAAAATCGCTTTTTGTGTTGATATTGTCAACGGAAGCAGGACAGGACAAACCTCTCTCCTGATTGGGTGTTTGGTTACTATGAGACAACGCTGACTAAATTTCTACAGTCTGAAAATGTGCAAATTGAGTCAGAGTTTGTAGTTTTAGTCAAAAGACTGCTCTCTACAGTTGCACAATTTATGAACACTTTTACATTTTAGCACACTATTGTCCATCTATTTCTCGATTTCCATACACTTGTCCAGGTGGGAGATAGCGTGGGGAGCAATCCAAGCAGGGTCTCCCATTCCTCCCAGACTTTGCAAGTCACAACAACATCTCTTTTGGCACTATTATTGTGTGTAGTATTATCATTGTAAATCCAGATATGCGCCTTACAAGGATCGGCCAATCAGATGCCTTAAAGTGATTGTCCGTAACTCTAAAGGAATCAATTGTATTAAATTGACCACCTGGCCTTACATTTTGACAAAGAATAAGTCATTTTATGAATCATAATATTACGGGTAAGTCCCGCCTTCCCTAATCTTAGCTATAGCTCAAAATCCACCACGAGGCCGTCCAGTTCAACCAATGGCTGATGCCAAGGGCTGTCAATCATCGTGCTGGTATATAATTTGAATTTTAAATATAAATACATATATATATATATGTATATATATATATATATATATATCTATATGTATGGAATAGTTAATTTTCAAAGGTTTTGCCGTGACGTGACTAGAGGTAAGAATTCTGAACATCAGCGGTGAGTGACCCAAATATAAACTTAACCTAAAGGCATAATCAGATCCACTGCAAATGTGTCCTAAAGTGTTCTACTAATGTTAATAGTTACTTCCGGGTTTACTGATCGCTTTTTGTCCCATTAAAACAGTATTTTTGTCATGAAAACGTGTGTTAAGAATGTATATGTATTATGCATTCTCCGATTAACTTTTAAATGTGTTGATTGATTGATATGTGTTATTGAGCGTGGCTAGCTTCGATAGCTTCTCTCACACAGACAGAAGTAATAAGTGACAGGCTCTGAAAGCCTGTTTTGACGAAGTGTGCGAGATACTATCCAGAGTAAGTATTTTACACACCTGAAGTAAATTTACAGAGTGCGTTGCCAAAGGGCAGCGGCCATTATTGTGTTTGAAAGTCCGTTTTCAAGAAATAATGATCGGTAGAACTTTTTGAAATTACATTCAAATCAATGGAGCATTCTACTGCTGCTGTGAGGAGCCGTGTAATACATTATGATTAAATATTCAAATACTCAAGACCAACCAGAGAGGAAGGGGGAGGGAGCTTGGGTCATTTTTTTTTTTCATATCATGGGTACACTCTATATTTTATCTGACAAACTCCAGACTATCACTTTAATTCGTGGGGGAAACTCTTGTCTTGGCAACATGTCTGCCTTTGTTACGGTGCAAAGCTAACCCCATCAGAACTCATGCAAACATAAGGAAATTGGCTGCAGCTACCTTATGTTCTAAAAGCTTCTTCTGCAATAAGGCTAACACTATGGTGATGTCACAATAGGTCAGGCCACTCCTAACACACGCTCTAGGCTCAGTATGGTGACTGGAGGTGACTCCTGTGTAATACTCGGTGCTGCCTCTGAGCTCACTCCTGTGTTTGTTCCACGTTTCTCTCTCTGCGCAGGCATGATCCAGGTGGGGAAGTGGAACCCCGTGCCCCTGTCGTACGTGACTGACGCACCAGATGCCACTGTGGCCGACATGCTGCAGGATGTGTACCACGTGGTCACGCTCAAGATCCAGCTGCACAGGTACCAGACACACACCTCCTCACCCCACTCAGGAAATGTACCCAGACCTTGTTTTCTCTAGTCGACAATGACATTCTTGCCCTGTCAATTGATTAGTTGACAAAAAATGGGACGTGGAAAAGGCTCTTTTTTTTCTTTATTTCTCTGGACTCTCTCTGGACTCTTTCTGGTCCCTCTCTGCTCTCTCTTGCTCTCTGATATCTCTCTCTGGTCTCTCTCTGGTCTCCCTCTTGTCCCTCACTGGTCTCTCTGGGTTTGTTTTTCTCTGTCTGCTTTATTTCCCTGTAATTGTTCTTTTTGATATGTTATATTATAATGACTGTTTTTATTGACTTGTATTGTTATATGCTGACTGTGCAGCACTTTGTGAACATTGTTTTTTTAAAAGTGCTTTACAAATAAAGATGTCATATTTATTATAATAACTGCTTTACTGCTGACAGATGCCCTTGTGGCATTGGGAGGACGGGTAGGAGACCCCTGTTCTCCACAATACAGATTCTCAAGTTACTTTCATGGTTCCCTTCCATATTTTCCTTCCTATATGTATCATTAGGTTGTCCAGCTACTTAAACCTGCTTTAAACTTGCTCTTGTTACAAGCGATTCTTTTGATTGATTCCTTTCTGCAGATAGAGTCCAAACCATGCTGTCGTAGTCCCACATATATCCAAAAACAAACGCACAGATTGCAATGTTCATTTTCACCTCTGCGCGCCGCCGGGCCCAAAGGCGTTTCACACACTGCCCCCAGACACTACCCAAAATAGCATCGTCGCTCACATTTTCACACACACAGTACAATACGGGGAAACCAAACAGCCGCTCCATCTGATACTTCACCAGCGCTGCACAGAGAAGAAGCCAGCGCGGCTGCAATCACCAACATCATCCACTGAGTTTCCTGTCAAAACACAGTGTGGTCAGCATGGCCTAAAAACAGCGACGGCACAGGAATACAAGACTGGTTGAATACTAAAAATACAGCTGCTGACTCACAGCTGCACAGAAACGCATTGAGCCAAGGAAAGTTTATTTGTGTAGCACAGTTCATACACAACACAACAAAACAGTAAAGAAACACAAATAATCACAGTATATTAAAAAGATTGAAGAGGCAATCCAGCAACCACTGCTCCTGATAGGCACCCTAGTGACATCAGGATGGGTCAAATGCAGAGGATGAATTGCCCTACAGGGATAAATAAAGTGCACCTTTAAATTTACCTTACCTTTACTTCTTTCTTTCCTTCTGTTGAATATTTGAACATTGTAAAAGTAGAAGCCTGTCTTACATCTTCAGGAAGACTGTTCCAGTTTTTAGCTGCATGAATCTGAAACGCTGCCTCCCCATGTTTAGTCCTTAGCACCAGCTGGAAGCTAGTCCCTGTGAATGTAGGTTAGTCTCATTAAACTCTGATTTTGAACATTTGACTACATTTGACTAAAGTTTTCTCTCTTTTAACCATGTTACAACATTGATCCTCATTAGTTGTTTCTAGAGCCATCCACCCTAACAGGAGTGCTTTCTGTGTGGAGTTTGCATGTTCTCCCATTATTTGGCTAGGTTTTCTCTACCACTAAAAAGCTCAAGCTCAGCATTGTGTACCCATTATGCTTTTGATACTCACCACATATTTTCTACTGAAGATATTGTTTTCAAGAAGATAGTATTCATAGTGTAGTCTGAAACATTACTACTGCAATACTATACAATAACTCCAATACACACACATCTGCTTCCCAGTCTTACCCCTCTAATTGTTGGCTATTTGTTGTCCCTCATTCTCCCCCACCTCAACAAACGCCAACCATCACAACCTCCTCCTCCAAAACCTTTCCGGCAAACACAACAAGCCGGGAAGGTAGGAGCATCACGGAATAATAGCCGCCACATGCAGCTGATGTATAATTCATGCATCAATCCAGCAGATGTGTTGTATAAAGTAATTAACTAATCAGAACAATCAGGAGAGAGAGAGAGCTGGGCCGAGGCGGGGGAGAGGGGGGGAGGCTATGAAAGGGAGGCTCCAATCTCCAGATACATCTGCTTGATCCGCCAAATGAAATCTGTCTGTCTGTCTGTCTGTTATGTGTGCAGCGGGAGCACAGAGGCCCCCAGATCACCACCTCTCTCCCTGTCTCTGTCTCTCTGTGTCTCTCTCTGTGTGTGTGTGTGTGTGTGTGTCTCCCTCCCTCTCTCTCTCTCTTGCTCTCTCTCTCTTTCTCTCTCTCTCTCTGGCTTTCTGGTTGCTTCGTTTTGCCAATTCATCAATAAACCAGTCCACAGCACCGACACAGCACCAGAGTAATAAAGCGGTGCGTACACGTATTCTTCCGAGGCAAGAGAAGCCATCGGTTATTGACTTATTTCAGAAAAATTATTTGGTTTCAGCCGAAGAAGAGTTGACAGCTTAAAATACTGGAAGGTATGCCCTGTTTCCACCAACCCTACTCTGTGTTGCACTACTCTTTACTTTACTCTACTCTTTACAACTATACCTGTTTAGATTACCTTAGGTTTACTGCATCCTTGCAAACAAGTATCCGGGTAAATGTCTTTCAGCAGCACTCTGGCCATTCACTGTCAGGTAGAACACTTTGGTACCAGCTTGGCCTGGATAGAACCACTACCAAGAGGGACAAAAGAAAGACCTGGTACTGGTTAAACAGGGCCAGGGGAAACGCTCCCAATCAGGGAAGAGTAGAGTAGAGTAGAGTAGAGTTGACTAGAACAGAGTAGAGTAGAGTTGAGTTGACTAGAACAGAGTAGAGTAGAGTAGAGTAGAGTTGACTAGAACAGAGTAGAGTAGAGTAGAGTAGAGTTGATTAGAACAGAGTAGAGTAGAGTAGAGTAGAGTTGACTAGAACAGAGTAGAGTAGAGTAGAGTAGAGTTGACTAGAACAGAGTAGAGTAGAGTAGAGTAGAGTAGAGTAGAGATGACTAGAACAGTGTTGACTAGAACAGAGTAGAGTAGAGTAGAGTAGAGTAGAGTAGAGTTGACTAGAACAGAGTAGAGTAGAGTAGAGTAGAGTAGAGTTGACTAGAACAGAGTAGAACAGAGTAGAGTAGAGTAGAGTAGAGTAGACTAGAACAGAGTAGAGTAGAGTAGAGTAGAGTAGAGTTGACTAGAACAGAGTAGAACAGAGTAGAGTAGAGTAAAGTAGAGTAGAGTTGACTAGAACAGAGTAGAGTAGAGTAGAGTAGAGTTGACTAGAACAGAGTAGAGTAGAGTAGAGTAGAGTAGAGTAGAACAGAGTAGAGTAGAGTAGAGTAGAGTAGAGTAGAACAGAGTAGAGTAGAGTAGAGTAGAGTTGACTAGAACAGAGTAGAGTAGAGTAGAGTAGAGTAGAGTAGAGTAGAGTAGAGTAGAGTACAGGATGGTGGAAATGGGGTTTTTGTAGTGAGTGGTGGGCAGTGAAACTAAAATGTAAATCTAAAGAATAAAGTCCAGGACACAAATGCTAAAGTACACACAAAGACAACACACAAATAAAGACCAGTGGGCGTGCACAGAGGTACACATTTATCTTATTGTGTTAATGACCGCACATTTCAATTGCGTCAGTGTGTTTGTGATGGAAATTATACAAACTCGGAAATTTAAGTTAAGTTAATTTCTGTATCTTATAATGAGAAACTTATGCAGACTAATTACTAAGTGGCATACGTCTTTGTTTGTTTTAAAGTTGACGATTGCAGCTCACTGTCTATTCTCAAAATATAAAAAAAATCTGAGAATTTTGAGTTTTATTTGGGGTTTTTTCTTTTTTTTGTCAAGTTTATTTTTAATGTGTTTTATTTTGACGCAACAGTGAGATTGGATGGACCAGGACACACAGTAAAATTACTTCCTCAACAACAAAATGCACCCTTAATCATTCAGTATTTAACAGAAACTGCAAAAATGGAAACTGAATCTAGAGTTTTGCGTGGTTTCGTGTGGACAGAAGGAGTAGAATTCTCCTCCGTGTAGCGCTCGAAGCATACATAGCTAGTTAATTGTTGTTTAAGTTTGTTCTTGGCTACTGCTCATGTTCAAATGTACATGCAGGAAGTGGAGGTCATAGCAGGCAGAGAATTCACACTTTTTTCTCCACGCGGCTGTGAAACAGCCCCCCGCTGAGCAGCGTATCTGTTCTGTTTCTCAACGCTTATGTTTTCACCCCCCTTAAACAGCATATGTAAACAGGAGGCCAAACCGATACCCAACTCTAACGTTTTACTGTTGCAGCGTCTCCGTCTAAACAGGGCCTGAGGCTTTAGTGTTAGCTCTATAGATCCACACAGTCTGACTTAGACCAAAGAACAGCTGTGAGCCAATTATCAACATAATAACAAATAAAGGCTTTGCATGTAACAAGTCTATCACATATTGGTTTCACATTATAGAATTACAGAAGTTAATTTGCACTGCACAGCCTCAGTCCTGGATCTACAGCCTCAGTCCTGGATCTACAGCCTCAGTCCTGGATCTACAGCCTCAGTCCTGGATCTACAGCCTCAGTCCTGGATCTACAGCCTCAGTCCTGGATCTACAGCTTCAGTCCTGGATCTACAGCCTCAGTCCTGGATCTACAGCTTCAGTCCTGGATCTACAGCCTCAGTTCTGGATCTACAGCCTCAGTTCTGGATCTACAGCCTCGGGCCTGAATCTACTTCTTCAGTCCTGGATCTGCAGCCTCAGTCCAAGATCTACAGCCTTAGTCTAAGATCTACAGCCTGAGGCTGCTGTTGCGATTTAGTGCTGTACACAAATACACTTAATTGATTAAGCTATTTTCTTAGATTCTGGCATAAGTCTAGATATTGTTTATATTTGTAAGTGATCCCCATGGTTCTCCCTGTAATTCTAACAGTTAAATGCATTTGAATGTCTTCTTCAGTGACTGATTTCTCACATTGCTCTCCCGCTCCCTCCCTCTGTGTCTCTGCAGTTGTCCTAAGCTGGAAGACCTGCCGCCCGAGCAGTGGAGCCACTCCACAGTAAGAAACGCCCTCAAGGAGTTACTCAAAGACATGAATCAAAGCTCTCTGGCTAAAGAATGTCCCTTATCACAGGTGCTGAAGCCCAGAAACACTATAGTCTCTAATCCCCCCCGCTCCCCACCTCCTTAGCCTGAGACACATCCATCACCTCATGTTTAGCTGCACTCATCCACTGCCTTCACAACACAAGTCTGCGCAGAGATCCCAGTTATAATTTAAAACATACTGTACATACATTTTGTTTTGAGATCACATTTTACTATTCTTATTGTTTGCTGTTAAAGTATACATATTGTGCTTATATCTGCTATATGGTTAGAATCTTAGGCCTTAGACTCCATATGAGGTGTGGACTGACCGAGTTTGACTTCACCATGGTGTTTACGAAATTCAGAAGAAGTCCATTTGAACATAAGATAGCTAATTTGTTCAGACAACGCAAGATTTTGCCTCATAACAGGGGCAGACGTGTTGCTAACGTGATTGCTAAGACAAGCTGGAGTTTCCCATGGTCAATCCTTAAATGGCTCATATCTGGATTCACAATATGAACAGTAGAAGCATCAAACCACAGATTTGTTTAAGCCCAAAGTGGTGAGTGTGATACAAATGGTTATTGAGTTCGTATAAGTTAAGTCAGTTGGAGCAAAAGCGAGTTGGAGCAAAACTTTGTTCATGAGCACTTCCCCATTGGGCTTCATTGAGCAAGTGGGTTAGTATTGTCCATCTATATGCAGTCTATGTTTAGACGCACATGAATAAATGCTATTTATTGGCAGTATATTCTTCTCCAAGGGTTATTTCTTCTTCATTTGATTCAAAATGCCTGACACAGCAATGACTTATTTTAGTCAGGATAAAACATTGAGTGATTAACTAAAGAGAAACTATCACAGCATGATAACTATCTCTTCAAAGTCGATGTGGTCTTATCGGTAACTTCACGTGTTTTTGGCTACTTCCCATAACTAACAAAAAACTCTAATAGCAGCATCTATTTTTCTCTCGTTCTCATTCCTGCTCAGAAAACGAGTGAGCGCCATCTCATCGGCGTGCATTTCTGTCCACACAAATTGCATGTTTTAAAAATTTTCACTAAATTTTCATTAGACTTTCTTGGCTCCAAAATGTATCTTGGCAGCACAACGCAATCAATTCAAATGGGATTCAAAAATTAATCCTCACCCAGCGAATACTGCTCGGCTGTTTTTCTAATTTGCCTACACACATAGATTTCCCAGAACAGCCATCAACCTTTTTCCAGAAAGCTCCTCTGGATATAGAAAAATAATGCTATTGCTGCGAAGGTCATATCTGTCTCAAATATGTAAAACTCGTGTAGTTTTGGCTGCATCCAAACATAGGTAATTACTGTGTTAATGTCGAAGCCCAGAGCCAGGGAAGACCAGGGAAGACCAGGGAAGACCAGGGAAGACCAGGGAAGACCAGGGAAGACCAGGGAAGACCAGGGAAGACCAGGGAAGACCAGGGAAGACCAGGGAAGACCAGGGAAGACCAGGGAAGACCAGGGAAGACCAGGGAAGACCAGGGAAGACCAGGCACCACGTATGGCCATTGTGCACTAAAGAAGTCTGGCTCGCACCCAGAACTGGCGCTTTTGTTCTCCGCATTTTGTACACTCTCCACTGGCTCCACAGATACTCAGTGTTACTTAGAGCCAATATCTCCTCAAAATATGTTTCTAATATGGAACTAACTAAGGGGCACGGTGGCTGAAAAATATGCTCACTAGGTTATAAATCCTCCAGCTTTGGTAGTCCTGACCAAGCCGAGCATTAACATCTGGAGATGGGTTCCTGGGCGCTCTACTACGGCGACCACTGCTCCTGACGTAAGCCTTAGTGGCATCAGGATCACAAATTTCCCTACGGGGACAAGGAAGTTTATTTATTAACTAACAGCAGCCTCTAGAGTGGTAGTGGATCCGTTTGAAACTGGGAGTTGCTTTTGATAATATTGATATTAATTTTATGTGATATGATGATTGATTGATTGAAATTGAAATTCAATAATAGAAGGGATAGCTTAAAAGGCACATAGCACGTTTCTGCTGTCTATCACATCATCTATGACCCCTGTCGCTCTTTATTAAACACTTGGTTCTTAATATATGGTTAGAGGCCCCAGTATACAAAAGTTTGTCCCCAGTTTTTCTCCCAAAATGGTGGAAGACAAACGGTTTCTGAGCTAGAGGAGTCTGCATGTAAGCCAATAGGAAACAGCGATTTGGAGCAAAATGTCATTCTTCATTGTCCATACAGGCTGAACATGGAAAACCTTGACTCTTTTACTAGAGCTCTCCGTTTTCATGAAGGACCACCTACCAAGTCGTGGAAAGCAGAGCGGGGAGTTAATAACGTATTAAAGCCGTGATAGCACTTCCTGTTACCGTTAGCTACCCAAAGCCCCGCGGCGCTAACGGGCAGATGTCTCTTTATTGTGATATAACCGTAAACAGCTATAGCATGAGCGGAATGAATAAGGCTCTGCTCTCGAGAAGCCATTTTGTCAACAACGCGATTAACTGTATACACTGATCAGGAGCAGGTTCAGGACGGTGGTTACATTTATACAAGGCATGTCCACGTTTATTTGAATAGCACAGTTCATCCAAAAGGCAACTCAAAGTGCTCTAAAAACATGATACAAACAATCACACAAGGCATTAACAATCATAAATAATCACAGTACACCAAAAAGAGTGAAGATACAATTCTTCACTTGTTGCAGCGCTACAGAACTGTTTTTAACCTGGATTTGAGCATTGTCAGAGTAGAAGCCCAACTCACATTTTCAGGAAGACTGTTCCAGATTTATGCTGCATAAATCTGAAACACTGCCTCCTCATGTTTAGTCCAGACTCTGGGCACCATTGTGAAGCCAGTCCCTGTGCACTTCCGAGTCCCAGCTGGAGGCTAGTCCCTGTGCTCAAGAGTCAGAGTTGGTTCATATGGCACTAACGCGTCACAGATATACTTTGGTGCGAGGCCATGGAGAGACTTTTACACAAGCAGAGCTGCTTTAAAGTCTATTCTCTGAGCCACAGGAGCCAGTGAGAGACCTGAGACCAGGACTAATGTGATCGTTCTTCCTGGGCTTGTCAGGACTCGAGCTACAGCATTTTGAATGTACTGCAGCTGTTTGATTACAGCACATATACGCTTGTGAAAATAGTGCATACTGAGTTTGAGCTGTTATGAGTGTTCGTGCGTGACCGTGTGATCACCTGCGGTCCCCATTTGGTGCTTCACACAAGCACACAACAAAACACACTTACATTCTATTGCGCCTAATAGAGTAATTGAATAAGTAGGACCCCCCTTGACTGTTGTATAATGAATAAAGGACTTCACAGCTCTTGGTATGTGGGGATTGAAATCTGTATCACACTTATTGCATGTGACCAAAAATCACCAAATGACAAGAGCAAAGCGCAAAAAACTCCCCTCTCTCAGTTTGGAAATCTAGTCTGCTTGTGTAAGAGTCAAGCTTCAAAAATTTTTTTTTGAAGGGCTGCATGTTGTTATTAATGATTATTTGGAGAACCAATAAATTGTTGGGATCCTAAAGCTCAGTGAATATGGAATTTGTTCTGCAGTTGACCTAAAAACAACTCCAGTGATGCTCCTGGAGACTATCTTCAGAAAGAGAACTGTTACACTAACATGTATAAGTCTGTGGAAGAATTAGAAAACAAGGATTAAACTACAGTACCCTACAAACAACAAAAAAACAAAGACAAATGCACATAATGAGACTGATTGGCTGGTCCTCCCTGCATCACTTTTGTTCGAGTGCTCGGGGCCAAAACCTTTAGGGTTAGAAACTTTCTCAGAGAGAAATTAATTCAAGTCCCCAAAAACCCACAAAACGTTTTGCGCGTTCATGCTCACCTGAACAAAGAGTGTGTCCCTTCTCTACACTGCACACAGTCGTGTGTATGTGTGCATGTGTGTGTGCTTGCTAGCGTTTGTGTGTTTATCCAGGCCTGAGCGGCGCACTGATGATGTAAAGAGTCCCCCGGTGGTGTTCAGGCACAGCCCAGCCCGGTTCGGTAATCACCCTGTTTACGGGCCATATGTGAGGAGGCTCTCCACTCACTCACTCACACACTTACGCACTGCGCCTTCAAAAACGACACGCACACACACAACCACAGCCACGGCGCACTCTCACCAAACACTACTCTTATCTTGAATCCTAGAAATATTTGAAGAGATTGACGCATAAAAAATGTCTGGTAAATTTGATAACCACAGGTCCTGTGTGGTTGCCCACCTAAGCGCTAATAAGTCAAGTGCGTTTGATCGTTCTGTTTTGAATGATTGCGTATTGATACAGCCTGACCTCACACAAACCTCCCAGTACATATGCTTAATATAGATAATATTGTGAAAGTTGTTTGGCAAAAGTTGGATATTACATAGCTTCTTAGTCCTTTTCCACTTCATGATGGGTGAAAATAGCACTTTTGTTCATTGGAACTTCTGGTTTAGGATGCACCTTTAAGCACCTGACCAAAAAAATACCCACTGTTGCACTCATCTCACTATATTTTCATGTAGTTATTTATTCTTTTAATATGGACATAACAATAACATTGGACAAACCAGATGCATTGCAGGGGCAATGCAAGTCTGTCTTGATCTTAACCACTGTTTGAGCTCTTTGCTGAAGATGGTCATGTTAGTCTGTAGTTTTAGTTCCACAGTTTAACCCCCCTAAAGGAGAAGCTGGATTGTCCAAAAGATGTACTGAGCTTTGGGAGCACACAGTCCCCACTGACTGAGGCTCTGGTGGAGGCTCTGAGAACAGACTGGCGTTTCACATTTAAAAGCCAATTTTAAAATTGAGAAATTTACAAAGTTGTTGAAAGTAAAAAGTTTGTTCTTCTGTATGATGTCACAATGATGCCATCTCATTGGTTTCTTGTCCATGATCTTAATTGTCTGTTTATACAGAGAGGTTACTGGTTT